ATTTCCCGCTTGTCAGTGTCATATTTGACAGTAAATGGGGCCCAAATGGGGCTCCCATTTACTGAAATACCATGAATTTCGATCCCCCATTCCAAGCGTAAGTACCCCAGGCCATTTCCGTTACAATATTTTACTGCAAAAATGTTTTACTTTCATTTCGCGAAAAAGTTTTGCAAATTGACGTAATGAGCAAAATGCATTGCATTAAAATATTTATCTTTGAATTCTAACGTTTAGGAGGACATTTTTTTCTCGGACATTGACACAGATGAATGGATATATAGCATATATTCATTCAGATTCAGAGACATACTATCATCAATTTAATAGCATATTCGCATAATATTTTATAATGAAAAAAAAGTAGAATGAAGCAATAATAAGTCTGGACCAGGGTTAAACCAAATTAGCTCAAACAACATTTATCATATACTTATACCATTAATAAAAAAATATGTTCATTTCCAATATTTATAAGATATTCAAAAGTCCGTACAATTCTCTTCTGAAAGGAAATTAACCCTTTTCGACAAGAGAACTTGAAAAGTTAATTTTTGTTTCCAGTTTCTTATGATATTTGTAATATTTGCACTATTAATCGCTTGAGAAAATGATCGCGGAATGTTTTCGTTTTAGTAGGCATTATAAGTTCCTTCACCATTGTGGCAAGATAACATTTTATTTGTCACATTATTTATAGCTTTTCTTGTCAGATTGTAGCTTTTTCTTATGTTTTCTTAAGTCGCTTGTTTTTTAACACCTATTCATGTTTGCTATGGATTCCATCCGTTCTTATTTGTTCTTCATGAGAAATGTACGGCTGATCGATACTTTTGTTCACTTCGTCCCGCCATTGTAAACCTGTTATGTACTGTTATTTCCTGTATTATGCATTTTTCTGATGACGGAATTGGATCGATTTAATTCTTCGGTTTTCCGTTAGAGCCTAGCCATATCTAATCCTTCGATATTATTTAGAAACAATTTGCATTGTTGGTCAGTAGGCATAGCTTTATTGTAATAAAATAGCAGGTGCGTTTAATTTAAAAAGCATCTTTCGATTCATTAAGCGATTTTCCCCATGCATTAAAGATGTGCGTACTCTAAAATAAAATAGAGAAAAATATCGGAGCTTTTTAAAGATTTCTTCTGAATATTAAGTGACAATGATATGTGTGTCTGCAAGGTTTATTTGGCGTACCCAAGGCTGCCTTATGAACTTCCACTATAAACCTTCTGCTTTGATGCCGATGCGTTTCGAATAATTTATCGCTTACCTAAATCACCTAAGTGCGATTTGCCTTTTGGATTTCAGAAAATAAATCAATGTATTAGCAAGACTTTTATTTCTTTTTTATTACACTTGTTATTCATTTTATGAGAAAATTACAAAAAACTTATAAAATCAAATAGATGAAAGTTACCGGAAACGCAAACCACGTTGATAAAGATATGAATATTATTGGCTTGAACGCATTTGCGTTACCAATTTCCAGTTTTTGTTGATCAGTTGCATATGGCCTGAGACAATGCATTACATTACAAAATAACTTGAATACACTTGGTTTTCCACATTCATTAATAAATTAAGCCATGAATGCATCTACCGTAAACATTATATCATAATAAAGTATTAATTTGAATTATTAATGACTGTTATAACTACCATCGCCATATGTTTTCTACTCCATATATCGACATCATCACAGGTGTCAATACACTCCATGCAATACGCATTTCGCATTTTAAAATATGTATTATCTTGTCATTAATCGAATTAACTAACCATCGTATCAGATTATATTGCAAATTAAATTATTAGGGAGTTAATATGACTTGCGAAGTAAAAACGCAGAAATAATTGAAATACAAACTAAAGTAAATATGATTTTTCAGCTGAAATCTGAGATTTGAATTCCGCAAAACCCGTTCAATGTGAAACAGAATTACATTCATTGCTCTGAACATGTATTTTACATTTTTGATTGTTTCAAAGACTAAAACTTTATTTTATATTTGAAGAAGTAAAAAATTCCTCAGATAATCACAAAATAAGGAATACATTTTTAGATCTAAATGATTTCCAGTTTCTGTATGTAACTTAACAAATCATAGATATAATTTATTCCTGTAAACAAAATGAAAACAATTATTATAAGTTTTAAATTATTATAAGTTATAAGTTTTTTAATATTACGGTTATTTGCTAACATGTGTCTCTAATAAAACAACTTATTTATATAATATTTTTATCGGCAACGTGCATACCAAAGCGTATAGTAAGTAATTCCACATCCGTCGGAAGTCAGGTGAAGTCCTCATACCTTCTTGTTAAATAATTATAATTTTTTCTCCTAAATAATTTACCTCAGATGGAGGAAACAGATAAAAAGATTGTATAACGCTCATTCTAAACGACTTGATGATACGTGCGTTTCGTCGAATGTTTAGTTTTCAGCATGAGAATCAAAAATATGTTTTTTGAGTTACAAAAGCATGAAAGTAAATCTGATAAAAAGAGTGCACAGGGAAACTTGTATAGGATTTGGATCAAAATAGGTTTTTGTTTGTTTGTTACTGCTTGTTGAACTTTATATGCGATTTTTTTTATTAAAATCGACAGACAAAATTACGCGAAATTCAGTAAATTTATGCTTTTTAGTGGATATTCTTGTTTAAACATGTTATTAACAATTGTTGTTCTTGTTTAAACAATTATGTTGTTGAGGTCAGCACACATCGCTGATTATATTTTTCAATTTTCCAAAAATTTGTATTGTCTATGTTCGCGCAATATTTGAGCGGTTTTGATCTTTAAATTTTTTTTCGACAACCTCCCAAACAAAACAGCATGCGAATGTATATAAATGTTCGCGTGAAAACATAATAATAAACAGCTTTTCGACACTTTTTCTTAACCAGTTGTTAGATTACCATCTCAATTCCACATATTCAGATTTTCACACAAATCTCCCTAGCCTCTATTCATTCTAATTGATCATT